ATATTTTATGAAACAGACAATCATTTATATTAAACATCAAATAATTTATGTACTATAATATTTTATAAAAATATTTAAAAAAATTAATTTTCTAATTATAATAATTATAAAGTTATTAAGTTATTAAGTTCGTATAAAAAATTTAATTTAATTCAAGTTTTCATATATTTCCCACGCATTTTGGAAGGCGTTAAATGGGTCAAAATGTCTGCAATGTTAGATTTTCTGTCCAAAAACAACTTTTAAAATAAATGTATATTAAAAAATGTAATAACTAAACCTTATAGGCGATATTAATTAACTAATATATAAAAATTGAGTTTATTTTTTTTATTTTGAGATTGAAGAAAAAGTTAGATTTATTTATTGAGCTTCACATGTTATTATATTTACATATTTATATTTAAATTTTATAGTTTTTAAGAATCATTCTTTTATAAACAATATAAAACTATTGTTTGGAATCCAAGCAGATAATCTGCTTTTTGCAATCTTGTTGGAATGGCTCAAATACATATTATAATTTAAAAAGTCGATTATCTGCTGGTAATAGACCGACATACAGTAATAAAATAATAATAATAAGGTAATAATAATAAAATAATAATAATAAAATAATAATAATAAAATAATAATAATAAAATAATAATAATAAAATCATTTCCTCTTATTTGAAGGGTCGTTAGGTAAGTGGTATTCATAGTAAGCGTAAGTTTAAAATTATATTACTAAGATAATATTGTACTTTACAGCCGTAAGTCTTAAAAAAATTTAAATTTCAATATATGTAACATGATTTGATATAACTGATTTCCTTAGACAAAGTATTTTCATTATATACAAAGACAGATTGAAAAAATCGTTATGTGTATATCAATCATATTTTTCAACTTAAATAAAATTTTATTAAAAATTGTTTATTATATGAAATAAATAATTTTAAATAAGAACTAATTATAATTTCAGCATTTTTAAGTGAAATTGAGGTATTTGTTAATTTTATAGCATAATTTATGTATTCGCTTTATACACAGAAAACTAATTTTTGGGGCAAACTTTTTAAAATATGTTTTTATTTAATTATAACTATACATATATAAGTTGTCTGTAGGATACAAAATTCTTTATTATGAATTTCACTTTCATTGTACGTAATTCTCAATACAAGATGTGTTTGCTTTGTCCAAAAAATAATTAAACCACGTTGGTTTTAGAAAAATTTTTATATCACATATGGATTTAATTTAAAATGTTTTCAAAACATTTTCGTAATATAATAAAATAATTAAAGCGATATTAATAATATTTTCTAAAATATAAAGACAATTCGCGTTATGTCAATTCTCGAAATGAATTTCGTTTAAATTACTTTTTTTTGTATAAATGACTACATAACTCTGATTAAAATTTAATATAAAAAAATTTAAAGTAACTAAACATATTAACAAATTTAAGTGAATAGTTGGGTAGGGCGGGGTGGGGTGGTGTTCGATTTAAACTACTGTATTACTTTTCATAATTTCGCTATATTTTCATTCATTAATTGAAATAATTTTTGTAAACAATTTTTATTTCCCTTAAAGTCATATCACATCTGCGCCAGCGTAGAAAACCTAAAAATACCGGACATGAATGGGCACGACCAAATACAAAAAAAAAAGAAGAAAATTGAAGCAAGAAGCACTTGGCGAGGAAACGCAATTTTTTCTTAATGCTTTCCAAATGAGACGCATAAACTCACACTTACCGCACAATTGCACGAAGATTTGTATGCTTTTCTTTTATTAAATCAAATTTATTTTCACTTTAAACAATAATTATAAACACAAAATATAATAATTTACACGGCTTTTGTCTGGTGAAGACAAATGACGAGACAAAAGCAAATCTTCACAGCACTACGCCTCCCCGACTTAATTAGCACACAGTCTCAATTAATGCAAAAACTCTATTTCCTTTCTATTTAATTCACATTTTGATTTTTTTGAAAAGAACCGGTAATTACAAATAAAGAAAATTAATCAAAACTATTAATAACACAATACTTTTTATTAAAATCACTTTGTAACAAAATCTTTCACCGTCCGACGTAGTTGACAAATCTTTCACTTACTATTACACCAACAAAGCACAATAAACCACCAAAGAATATCAGAGTGGCAATAATGTGTTAACTACATGGTTGCATTTAATGAAATTTTCAAAATTTAGTAGTAAATGTGGGTGCAGTTATGCCAGTAAATATTTAGGGTTATTGTTTTAAAATAATATATATTGTAATCATTTTAAAGTTAAATGTTTTATATAAATAATTTAAATTTAATGCATATAAAATGTAAAGAAATAATGTAAAAGTTAAATAAAAAATAATACAAATAACAATCAACTTTGACCATGGTACTAGGTATATTATAAATTTGTATGTATATTAGTTTGTATTGCAAATATATTAATTTTATTTACAATCAATATAGTGTAATACATTTTTCAAGATTATATTATATTCATTTATTAATCTTCAGGCTATCATTTTTTTTATTGTTAGTTAATTCCATCACTTTATCCACTTGTTTATGTTTTGTATATTTCCGAAATATCGCTTTTGATTAGTTTTATGTGAACTAAATACTAATTATAATAAATACAGAAAAGTTATTTAATTACAATAGTATCTAACATTTTATCTATTTGCCTACATTTTGTATATTATTTCCGATATATCGCTTTTAATTTCTTATGTAAAGTTAATACTAAATTTTATTATTACAAATAAGTGTTTTAATTATATTTGTATCTAACAATTTATTTAATTTTTTGTGTATACATTTTTAACAACCATACAAAACTTGTTTATACACAATTAGTAGGTAGTACAATACTAAATCGGAGTATGACTTTGCTAATTATGTTGATATCCATCGACGACTAATGAGTAAAATCGAAGCTAATATAAAATACATATATATTATTTTATAGATATTATCAATCATGAAAAGATCATTATATTGAAACGATATTTTTAGCTAAACCGAACTATTAATGGTATTAGTTACATTATTTTATAAATATTAAAACAAAGATATATTATCTCCAATGTTATAGGCAGAATACGTAAATCGAACTTATCAAATGTATTAAAACTACCATCATAATTAAATTAAAAAAGAAATTTAACGTTTAATTATAGTTACAAGTACTATAGATTGAGTTCCTATATAATACCTTTCTAGTATAGAATAAAATTACAAATCCATTAAAACATTTAATTTAAACAAATACTATTAACAAAAATTACAAATATCACTAAAAGTATAGAAATGATTGATTTTCAGAGTTTAAAGAACTTTTCCTTACGAGCCCATAATTGAATGGGCTGGTAAGTGTTTTTAAATTGTGTTTTATTTTGAAGCATATATTTTTATATCATATATTCTTAAACTCATTATTATATATATTGCACATTGTAACTGATTGTTACATAGTTCTGATTGTAACTAGGAGAACTTATTAACGCATTACCGCATCAAAACCAAACTGCTGTTACGGTTATTCATCTGATCCTAAGTTAATCCAAAATTATGTACGTTTTCCTATGCGATTTTCAAACATCATTTCTAGTTTATTTTAATATCAATATCCAAAGGTCCAACTATAAAACTCAAGATTTAATTTACAGTAACGAAATATTAAAACAAAACTGAAGGTTAATAGTGCCTTTTATATAAAAACCATAACTTAATTTGAGATATGAATTCAAAGATTACACACAGATGAACTATTATTACATATAGGCTCTTGATAATGGCTCCATGATAATAACGAAGCCGGACTATCTCACTGTCATTTACTGTCATAGACTTGTTTAAATGGGTTGACTAAGGGTAAAAGAGTATGGAGTTCAAACTAGCATTTGCTGAAAAGGAAGGATAATCGTACCTTGATAGTTAAACAAGGTTCAATCACGCATAAAAAGAACTACAAATTTACAATTGTGACGTCAAAATTAAAATATTAAAATTATAACTTCTTTATAAAAATACAAAAACTTTTTGTTGTTTAATAATTTAGTTTTATCTATAGAAAATATATAATTTTTATATATAATGGTAAGTTTATGATGTTAAGTAAAACAATTTAATATTTTTGACTGTACACAAATAGATTTATTTAATAATATAACATTAATTTTGGTTTATAAACAATCACTAGACTAGATTTCCTATACCTAAAAATAGTTTTTTTTATTTATATTTAGTAAATATTTAATTTTTACTTATAAAATCTGACTATATTTTATTCTAATTATAAATATTTGTATATAAAATTATTTAGATTACACTTATAGTAAGATTTAATATATAAATCAACTTCTTCAAGTACATTTGGCAGAAATTATATGTAAAAAATATTTAAAAGTAACATCTTTAAAAACAAAAACAAAAAAATTAAACAAAAACAAAAAAAAAATTAAACAAAAATAAAAATAACTTTATTAAATAACTAATAAAAAAAAGAATAAATATAAATTCATTCATATAAACAATATTTGGTATTATAGCAAAACTATATATAAGTTTCCATGGCAACTGTTGTATTTGGTTTGGTTATTATTTAGTAATGTGTTGGTAATTTACATTAATATAATTTATTTTTTTAATGTAATAAATTAATACAAAAAAACAAAAATTAATTTGAATACTTTTACACTCATAAACAAAGTATGTAGACTAGATTAGGAACAACGTTTTTACAAATAAGTTATAAAACAAATACTTAAAAAGAAGTTTTTTTTTTTTTAAATTAAATAATGTTATATATATGGCATATAAGCATTAATAATACAGAATTTAAAACCAACAATGCATATCATTACAAACTAAAATTAATTTCACGACGACCATTTTCCAAATTTTCAAAAAAAAATTAATAAAAATATTTTTATATATTATATATATGTTATATCTATAATAATATACACATATATATAATAATTACTTTAACAATTTTATAACTACACAGTTTTTTTGATTAAGTGTAGATATTTTACTTTTGTAAGCTTCTAAGTTGGCTATTTTAAAAACAGCTTTTGAATTTCTTGCATTGATCTCTTCCTCCTCTTCTTCCTCCTGCATGCTTTCTTCTGTATAATTTTGTCGGTCCACAAATAATTGTTCATTGTCATCATTAACATCTGCATTATAATCATCCAAAACAATATCAACAGTCATATCATCATCATCAATCTCCCGGTCCATATCGGACTAGCTACTACTACTTTGCATACCATTGACATTACCGGGGAAATGACAAATGCATGAAGGATTTGGAGTGTGTCCAGTATTAGAATCTAATTTTTTGGTCAAAGTTTTCCAATAATCAATTTGTGCATTCAATAAATCGATTTTACGTTTGCGTTCCTCAATCGCTAAAGACATGAGATAATCATTGTTACGATTGTTGTTATGATTATTATTGCTATTACTGTTATGATTATTATTAGTGCTGCTATTATAGGAGTTATTGTTTAATATACTACTGTTATTGCCGTTATTTAATAGTGTATTTTTGGATGTCGTACCAATATAATTATTGTTATTACTTAATCCAAGCAATAAATTACTGTTGCCATTGGTTAAGTTATGGTTACGTTGTAAAGTTGGCATTTGTGGCGGACTTTGTACGGCACTGAGGCCTAATCCATTGAGTAGCAAACGTTGCGCCGCTTGTTCACTGCTCGTCTGTGTATTTACACTGTTATTATTGTTAGTGTTACTACTACTGTTTGTGCGGGTAATGCTTAATGAATTGCTGCCATTTTCCAACGCCTTCATATTGGCCATACTACCAATGCTGCCAACACGTATACCGCCAACATTTTGTATTGTCACTTCGGGTTTCTGTTGTTGACTATTTTGAGATTGTGCATTGGACTGTGATTCGCGACGTATGTTATGCTGTTGTAATGTTTGTCTTAAGTCTGTTGCAAATATTTCATCGTCTTCTTCTTCTAAGCACACTTCTGGTATATCCTTTGTACTAAGACAGTCATCATCATCATCATCCATATCATGATTTAGGCCGCTTTGTGATTGCTCATTATCGCTTATATCTTCAGATTTTATAACAATCACATCAGTATCCATGCCTCCCAAGTTACCTGGAAACTAAACATAGAAAAATTATTAAAAAATTACAAAATACTAGTTTATATTTAATAGATGCTTAAAACTAAAAATTTATTTAGATAATTATTATTATTATAATTGCCTTAAACATAACTTTAATTTTTATGGACCCAAAGTAATACTATCCAAATTACCTACGCTTATACGTATTATAATATATTGTATTATTTATATTATATTATTGAGTTAAGTTATTATGGTATATCCAAGGGATTCTTCCTAGCAATCTATTTTAATTTCCTATTCCTTTTTACGAAATCTGCAGATCCCAATAAATAGAATTAGCAGTTTGTTTAAGTAATACTATAGTTCAGATCACAACATCGTATTAAATTTTCTGCTATAATTCTTAAGCTTGCTCATTTGATATTCGTTATATGTCCCTATCAGCATTTTAGTATATGATATACCCGTTAAATTGTTTTAGTCAACATCGTTCATTATCTTCTTTTTGTTTAAGATAAAAAGAATATAAAAATATGTTTAAATCTATAAAGTTGTGTAACTCATTTGTTTAAAAAAAAGAATAGATTTTAGATAGGGTTTTTCCGTAATAATAACAGTCAAATTGATAGATATTTATAGGAAATACGTACAACAATATTGTTTAGCTTTTCCTACTCGCAATTAGCGAACTTGTTAGGTAACATTTGCATAGCTTCTTTGTAAAAGTACACCCAAAAAAGACGCTTTACATATAGTAAGTAAAAATATGCACAATAGATGTCTCTATAAAAGAACAGCTTTAAAATAAAAATAGGCTACCAGAAAAATAACATTCAATTCATTCAATATTCGAATAAAAATTCGAATATTTCTTAAGATCACTGATGATAAGTACTTGGTAATACACGAAACAGCTTTGCAAGGTCAGCCAAATTTCAATAAATTAATTAAATTTTTGTTGTTGCTTCCACATTGCTGTTCGACCCTTCTATTTTGCAAACTATTTTTGATACGGACATTTTGTGAGTATATGTTTTTTTTAAGTAGAAAAGTGAGGTATACCGGAAATGTTACTTTGGATTTCTATATTTGATGAAGTATCAAATAAAAACTATTACTGATAATAAAACAATCCTTTTTATAAATAAACTGTGTTCTAGCAACCAAGGCTTTGAACTGGAATTGCACTGAAAACCACATAACCGATATTTTGGTCAGAGTTAATATCAGAACCCAAAGGAAAAAATATATAGGTTTATTTTGATTTAGTTCCATGCAGTTTAGTTCCTGCTTAAAAATGTATTGATAAAATTTTAATAAAGGAAAATTTGCATTTAGGAATTAAAATTCTATCTAAAATGTATATTTCCAACGTTAAAGAAATAGTTTTATATTTGGTAAATATATAATTATTTTTCAAACCATTTAATAGACTAAATTATATATAATGCATATAATAGTCGTATTATTAAAGAAATAGCTTACAAAAGTTAATAATATATATCAGATAAAAACTCAATATATAAACAACAATTATTGTTTAAAAAATTTTTATAAACTGAAAAATACACACCAAAAATGTTTTTGGCAAATTCGAGTATTATTCAAATCATTAATTTTATTTATTTTTTATTTAACTTTAAACACAGATTCTATTAAGGTTCCAATTTAAAGTAATAGGTATTTTCCCCAATTTTTGTTAACCTATATATATATATTATTACCTGCGTCTAAAATAATAATACATCTGCATAACAATACATTTCTTATTCATGTATGTATATGTATAAATAGTGTAATTAATTAAATCTTTTAATTGTTATATTTGAGTTTTGTATTATTTATTATTAAATTTAAAAGTCAAAGTAAAACAAATTTTTAATTATTTCCTAAATATAACAATTTATATGCTTCCTTCCAGCTTAAAAGTTATATCCAAAATCATACTAATAAAAAAAATATCTGTATTTGTAAAATATAATATAAATACATTTAAAAACAAATTTGTAGAAGTGTGATGTATATGTATGCTTGAGATACAGTGCTGCGCAAAAGTTTAACACCACCTCAATAATTTTCAATACACTAATTTCAAAGTGAAATAATACGAAAGTTAGTAAGATGTATATTGAAGTCAAAGGATATAATTTTAGATGTTGAAGAGTTCTTAAATTTATGCGAAGTTATTATTTACTTTAAACGTTTTTAGATAAAAGATAATTATTATTTTATTTTAATTTTGTGCAATTTATTTAGAAATTTATTTGAAAAATTTATTTTTATTATTTAAAAAATAAATTTGTTGACTCAAAATATTCTCGTACTTTGTCTTATTTCACTTCCAAATTTGTGTAATTAAAATTATTGAGCTGGTCATAAACTTTGGCGCAACACTGTATAGTATATACTCTATTGTTAAATATCAGTTTTGGATATCATTTACTTAAACTATGTGCCTATAACTTGTTCGGTCATAACACATTATTTTACAACATATCTGTACACATATATGTATCACTTTACCCTTTTTCTTTTCACCCACCTTAACTTTCACTTCAATTAAAGTTAAATACAATCGCTAAATAATCAAATTATACGCCTAAAACTATGTATTAAATATTTACTAAAACTGTCAGAATTCTTAATCAGTTGTGTTTATTGAACGCTTATTGGCCTGATTTTCAATGCACGATACGGCAAAAGCTTATTTCATGGAAAAATAGAACTCCACTTGTTGTTATCGCACATTTCATCGCTTACCTCTTAATCAATAAGAAGCCGAAACCCCCTTAACAAAGCTTAAATACATATGTTAACATTTAGGTGTGAATAATTTTATAAAAAAATAAAAAACAAAATTCGATTCAACATACCTTTGTGTCATCAAAATCGTCGTCAAATTTTTGCGGTCGGCTGTTGAAACCTTCGGGAGACATTTGTTCTGATATATATTGTGCGACAGACTCTTGTTGTGACAATGTATTTAATAGATCCATAAATGAGCGATTACCTTTACCCTCACCACATAAATCCTTCTTCAAAAGCAATTTCATATTCTTATATAATTGACGCAACTGCTTTGAGGAACGCTGGTGATAAACTCGTGCATTAAACTCTTTAGCAATTTGACGCCACACTTCATCTTTTTTACGATTCGACTCAGCATCGGTACGTTTATTCTCAATAACATCCTTGTACTGTGCAGCGAATCCTAATACCATATTGCGCTCCCGTTGCGTATAACGGGGAGTTTTCTCCATCTTCATTTCTTTTTTATGTGAAATTTTAAAACTGCTTTAATCAAACCGAGAAAAAATTGAAAAGGAAAAAAATACTATAAATATTTTGATACTTTAGTTAAACAATTATAGAGAAAATATAACATGACCGATATGCAATAAGGCAAGCCTTATTTTTGACTAAATTCATTTTCAATCAGAGTATATGGGCTGGGCTAGTCTCTGAAGGCGATAATATGCGTTTGCTAGATTGTTAGTTAGGGTTTCGATAAAAGCCCGCTTTGCAACGGTGTTGGTGAAATCGTGTCTGAAATTTGTTTTATTTACGTTTACGTTTGTCGTCGTCGTCGTCACCATCGTCGCCATCGTCGTAGCCGTTTTTAGTTTGTAAGCACAAAATTATTATTATTTTTTATTTTTTTAATTAATAAAAAGTTGACGAAAAACTCTTAGCAATCATAATAAGCACAAACAAACCTAAATTCTACTACAAACAAAATAACGATGGTTAGTGATAACGATTTTTTATGTGATAAGCTTGTTAGAGCTTCACTTAGCTTTGCACTACTAACGCGTATTGATACCGTTGAGCAAACTGTGTAGCAGCTAGTTGAGTTCTAGAACGTCAGCATGATGGCATAAGTTTCAGCTTGAAAGACGGTAGTGCATTTTGAGTCAGCTGAAATAGGGCGCCAAATGTTGATTATGTGGAGATTTAGTTCTTGACTTTGA